GTACAGAGGTCATCTCAAGTGTAACTGAGTCTCTGTACTCAAGAAAATTCTTGTTATTATGCAGCAATATTTATTTATATTCATTGTTTCCTTTACTCCTTTGTTTTATCATGCATAATTCTTGGGAGCCTTTTTTGTCTAAAGGTCACTGCAGTGCTTGGTAGGCTGGGCTATGTAGATTAACTTGTTATGCTTCTCAACATGTTTCTCTGTGCCTTGTGTTTGTGTTGCTTCCAAATGCTTCATTTTGTCTTTGGCTGAGATAAAGACAGATGGAGTACAGTATAAAGAAACAGCATGGATGAAAATATTAACAGCAGTGCGTTCTCTTTCTGTTTATAGGGAATACTTCTCCATATATGTTACATATGAATGTTTATGTGTGTTATTAGTCTAAGAAAATATTGAAGACTACTGTGGTGTTTGGCTGTAAATAAAGGTAAATGATGTAGAGCAGCCTACAGAATGTAGGACAAACCTATAAATCAATTCAGCTAATTAAACACAATGACAGACTGAAGCTCCCCAGTGATGTTCTTTTCTCATCCGTCCCCCTCCTCATCTCTTCCAAGTGTAACCCCTGCTCCTATTCCACCTACGCTGTTATTAACTGCTATTTCAACAATCTTCCCTGTATCTTTTTTGAAAATATATATTTTTTAGGTTGTAGTTTTTTATTCTGAAAGAAAATCATCTTATTTTTTTCTCCACACTTAGAATGACTATAAACTACAAAATACACACACAGTCCTCTGGCAGTTTAACTATGTAGAGCAAGAAGGGGGATATTCCCTATACAGAAAGGGATCCCGCTGTATGCGCTATTAATAGAGGAGCTTAGTGTAGGGGGCTTCCACTGTTGGTAATGATGGAAAAGGGGCTTCCCCTCCTCCACACACACACACACAGATAGTACAGATGTGCACATATGCAGGTTTCCCCTATGGAACCTGGTGTGCTATAAACAAGGTTCAGGTTGACAGGCCATTAACTGGGCTGTGTATTAGGTTACAAATCAGCTCATACTGCAATGGGCAAATGTTCACAGCATGTGAGGCATTTACCTGGTCTATTGGATATTGCCTCATACAACATGCAAGCCTAAGTGCACTTGTGTCCATCAAAATGACAGGCCTTAGGAGGGAAACGGGGCAGGAAAACCTATTGGTGAGATATTAATTTCATTGTTTTCTTATGGCCACTTTAAATCATTTTGTAAACATTGCCTACAAAAAGCAAGTAAGTGAGGACAGAAGTGGCTAACAACCTCACACACATTGTAAGACGGGACAAACCACAGATGTGTGATATAGTTAGAATATTGACTCTCTTAAGGAGAACTTGAGTGAAGTTCCTGTTTAAAATTGTACAAGCTTATCAAACAGCAATCAGTGGATCAATACACATCAGTTATCTGGAAGGCTGCCTGGCTACTGTCCTCAGCTGACATTCCTGGAAACCCAGCCAACTGAGACGGCCAGAGGGAGCATTATACTCCTGCTAATATATGTCTGAGTAGAGAATCAGATCACCCACTGTGCATTACGTTGGTGCTTAGCGCTGCTGGTGAGGCAGAGATGGAACACAAGAGAAAATGTGTCGGAAATGAAATATGAGAGGGGCAAATAATAGAGAAGGAAAGCAAGAACAAGCAGCAGAGATGAGGGCAGAAGGGAAAGACACAAGAGGAGAGACAAACATTTCCAGCTGCTCGGGGAAGTGTTAGACTTTATGAAATGGCACTGATACAGTGGATGTTTGTACTTGTCCCACTCTATGTTGAACCAGGAGTCAAGAGCGTTTTGCTCTCCTCTCTCATCCTCCCTCTCTGGCTCACTTTCTTCCTTGCTTGTTTTATAAATAGACCACTTTGCTTTCTCAGTAGACCACAGAGAGCACAAGATTCACTTAAGGAGAGAAGCGGGACACAAAACCATTGAGGAGATGAGGTTTGATAGTCCATTCAAATGTACCTTCTGTAATGGACATGAGACCGGCCGCTCCACTGGTGCTTTCATCAATTTATATAGTTTGCGGAACTTTTAGGTTTTCTTTCTCAAGCCTTTGCTTTGCTTTATGAGCACCAACAAAGTTTTGGATATGTTACAAAATGCATGCTTGAGAGTCCTGTAAGGACCTGCTATGTTTTTAACATAGGACCTACAATAAATTGTTGGATTTCATGTAAATAGTCACTGATTTGATGGAAGTTACTGGCTCAAACACTATAAGAATTGAAAATCTATTTGTATTTTTGCCTAAATCTTCACAAAAGGTGAAACTTATTACACCACACGAGAAAGACACACCAGTAGCTTGAGGTTATCATAAAGATGTTATTATTGATATCATCATGAAGACCATTATTATTCATAATAGTTTTATAATTCACAATTATTATGAATGATGAAAGTTTCTTTCTGTAGATATTCTATATTAATCAGTTTATATTCACTGTACTTCGGACGGGCATGGCAAGCGTTCATATCCATATTTGCTTTGAGTGAAACTTTCTTGGTTCAGACTTTTTCCATACAATGGTAGAAAAAACACAGGCTTTATACAGATCGTTAAGTACCACCATGAGACCACAATACAGTGAAGAAGCTGAGGATTATCTAAATCTCATACACACACATTTGAGATTCAAATAGTTGAAGAAGTTAGAGGACTACAGGAAGTGGAGGTGGTTGTCAGGGGATAAATATGTATTAAGACAGTACAGACAGAATCTACTTGACAAAGGCCTGCATGTGTATTTCAGTCAAACCTTAGCCCCTGCTCTATGTGAGGCTCAAAGGTGATTCAATAATAACATTCATATAGAAAAACATAGTGAAAAAAAACAACAGTTCAATTATACAGTGTCTGATGACACAAATAAGTTAAAGTTCTCATAGAAATTATATTTCCCTTTTGATTTGTTCATATACTTCCATCCGTAGTACCTGGAGCATATTAAACCTAAGCAATAATTCACCTACTATACAACTTAAGTTTCTTGGATGATTTCAGCAAGCATACACTTTGATTCCCTGCTATACAGGAATCTGTACATGGCAGAAGCTCATTTTAAAGCTGAAGCTTTAGGCATTTTAAGACATCATTAAAAGCAGCTGTAACTCTTAGATACATTGTTTACATGGCTACGTGTATTCACCACCAGCAGTGGGTTTAAGTCCATTCCCTTTGAGGCCTTGAAGTTTGACAGAACAATGTGTCTGTCCGAACAGCAGACATGGCCATAAAGGTGTATGTTCACAGGAAGTGTGTGTACACTGGCTGTGTTCAAATTTCAGGCGAGTGTGAATGTGTGTGTCAAGTGTCCTCTTGTCTGTGTTGTGAAGTACAGCAAAGATGTGTTGTCCTTGGTTCAGATCATCCTGATGTGCAGTCCTGTTGGTTTCTCCAAGAGAGTGTTTTTGTCTTGACAAAGTGTCACTTCAGTAGTGTGCTTGGTAACAAGAGTGGAAAAGACGGCAGTACAGACGAAGCTTTCAAGCCACATAAAGTCACATAGGTGTTCCAGTACACAAGAACAGTTTAGAAAAATACAAGTACATCACAATACAGGGGCAGTGTTTACCTTACATTATCATATTTTCCCTCCCAACCTCTACTATCTTCAATTCCCAGTAACTAGCCATGGCTGATACCGAAGCTTATCTCACAAGTCAACACACGCTCGTAGATCTTATCTCCAGTGGGTTTAACAGGACATTCCTTTCAGTTTTCTTTGTTTAATATGCTATGTGTATGTGATGAATATACACAAATGCCATAAACAGTTTGCTAGGATAGAAGAGAATATAAGGGAGCACCATAGTCTTTCTGGCCTGGAGTCAAGAAGAGCAGTGTTTTAGACAACTGCTACCACATTGTCTCTAAAACCTACACGCTCAGCTTGCGTGTATCTGAAAGCTCTCTATTCCTTTCACAATCTCTTTCTCTCTCTCATTCTCACACACAAACACACACGCACAGACAACACTACACACAGCATGTTGGGCCTATATATCAGAGATATGGGCACACAAGACAGTCCCTTGGAGCATTATGATACACTTGGCTGAGCAAAAAGTCTGACTGACTGACTGTTTGAATCGCTGTCCATCAACTGGGCTGGTAGTTCACTATGAGATACAGTTACTGGGTTGTGATTGCAACTGACCATAAAGACTTTAAAGCTGACAGGACATTAGTTAATGTGTGAACTATGCATCATAGGTTTAGCTATCCCTGTTCTGGAGTCAGTGTGGCTTTGGACTCTCATCTGACTTTCTCTCAAACTTTCTTTATTTCCTTTCATGTTAAACCTGCTGTTAGTTTAGCAAATCTTATTGTGGAAACACAACCCTCTTTGTGTAAATACTTCACACAGATTGTGAGTCAACAATATTTCAGATAGCAATGGCAGAAAGATGCATTATGCAAAGAATGACACATATTTCATACAGTATATTGCACATAGCGCCAGCACCTCTACAGATATAGGAATATATTCATGTCAGTTTGCTTTTTAAGTATTATTCATACTAATTCATGCTACAATGAATACTTCAAAGGACATGCAGCACTACAATAGCAGAATAGCATCTGTTAAAAGCTGATGGAGGACACATAGCCTAGTTCCTGCATTATAAGGGCAATGCACCGTCATTAAAATTATTGTTCAAACTGTATGAGTACCAAATAAATAAATAAATAAACAAAGAAATAAATAAATACTAAGACAAAATGTATCTCTTTTACAACCCAAGATACAGTATGCCAGGTGGCTTTGGTAACCTGATAATTGAGTTGGAAACACTTCTACAAGTTAACTGAAAAATATTTTTGTTTTTTTCTTGCAGGCAAAGTTGACTAATTTGATCTACTATTTAGGGGGGGGCATGTGTGGGAAAGAAGGCTTGACAGGCTAAAATGATTTAGCGGTTTCATTAGGAAAGAGCAATAAATTTTTCCTGTACTGATCATGCGCTGTTGGATATCACACAGCAGACTTAAACGCTGACATTACTTCTTACCCCTATCCAGCAAGAATGAATAATACAAAGTTGGCATTGCTGGTATGACAATAGATGCACCTTAAAGGTGTCATGAATTATTTTTTGTTGATAACTGAGCTCTTTCTTTGGTAGAGGGACTTTAGAAAAACTGTCATTTGAAATGTTTTTAATCCATAACATAAAAAGCCTTGATGAATTATACATAAAACTAGTTAACTTTTCCTGCTGTAACTGTATTGAAATTCGATTCTGACAAAAACAACAAACTAAAATCTCACTTTAGTTTGCTCCTTAATCTCATTTTGTCTATTTCTACAAACATGGAATGCTATGAAGTCAAGAACAGCAACATTTATGCTGGGCAGTGGTTTCAAACAGAACACTTGGACCTAAAGAGACACTTAAAGGTGCAGTTAAGAAGATGGAGAAATAGGCACTCACTCAGAACACTACAGAGAATATATTCACTATGTTTCTTTCTACATCATGTCTTTTAACCAAATGTAGGAGAAGCACACATTCATCATATTACTAAAAAAACATATATTTTAACAAACCAAATGGACAAACCAATAAATAAAGAAGACATTCACTCTGTTTAGTGAGACATTTCTTCTGTTCACCTGCTAGCCTCCATTGGCTGGAAACAAAAAAAAGGCAGAGTCATCGCGAGAGTACTGTAAATCCACTTAATCAAGGAAAAAATGGCAGGAAAAAGAAGATACTGTGCTATTGTGGTCCAGAATTACAGCACAGCACTGTCATCTGTTGGTCTCTACACAGGCCACTAGTTTGTACTAGACAATATCTAGTGAGGGCCTGGGGAGGGACGCGAGTGCACTCAGGCTTCATCTCTGACAGAGAAAGCCACAAATGACCATTTGGCCAAAAGCATATTAGTATCGCTTGCTCTCCATTGCTCAATTCACCCATGACAGAGCAGTGATGTTGGTGATCTTGTTTTTTTCAGGACCGTGGCAGTTAGAGCAGCAGATAAAAGTTGTTCCTGAATGCTGATTGAATGGCCTATTTTTAATCAGAAGTAATTATGTTAAGTTACATTTAAAAATAAAGGTTACGCTCATCTAAATTATTATTGTCATGCAACTTCTCCCGGGGCAGTTTGAGCAAGAAGGTAGACACTATTGTTCCCTTTGCGCTGTTAATATTGATTATTACTGGTTAGGCTACTATTTGGCTACTGTTGCGAGCAGGATGACTACTGTCACATAGGTAAGACTAACTCCATGCAGACACTGACAATGTCCTAAATAAGACAGGTGGCAGTTCTATGATATGCGCCATAGGATGCGGGAGATGAGGTCCTCACTACTGACCTTTTCTCCAAGTTAATCTCACTCATCTGCTCTGGACTCTACTGTGTGCCATATGTTTGTCGATACAGGGAGTAAACCTTCATCCTCCCCGTTACTGTCCCTGTAGACTCCAGCTAAAGTTAACCATCTATAGTAGCTCACATTATACATCTGTACGCATCTTAGTGATGTTTACATAGTTAGTGTTGGCCAGGGTGCAGTTTCCTGTTTTCATGCCCTCTGGTCTGAAGTCCTCAGTGCTGTGGTTCACAGCCTCCTGGATCTCCACATAGTCAGATTTACTGAGAGTGGATCCACTGCCGCTCCGACCACTCTTCTTTAGATCGTCAGCTGAGCTGGCTTTAGGCACACTTGGGATATTCAGATACTGTGCCTGTTCCTCACCCTCTGTCTCTCTGTGGTAGAAGTAGTTGAAGTTTGACACAATGACAGGTACAGGCAGGGCAATAGTCAGCACACCGGCAATTGCGCATAGAGATCCCACAATCTTTCCTCCAATTGTTGTTGGTACCATGTCTCCGTAGCCCACGGTGGTCATGGAAACCACTGCCCACCAAAACGCCTCAGGGATGCTGCTGAACTGGGAATGTGGCTCATCTGCTTCGGCGAAGTAGACAGCACTGGAGAAGAGGATCACACCGATAAACAGGAAGAATATGAGGAGGCCAAGCTCACGCATACTCGCCTTCAGAGTCTGTCCCAAGATCTGCAGCCCCTTGGAATGACGTGACAATTTAAAGATACGAAAGACCCTGACCAGACGAATGACACGGAGAATAGCCAAAGACATAGCCTGCTGGCCTGCCTGGCTGTCCTCTGGCCTCTCTGCTAGTTCTGTGCCCAGGGTGATGAAGTAGGGGATGATGGCCACAATATCAATGATGTTCATGATGTTGCCAAAAAATCCAGCTTTACTGGGACAGGCAAAGAACCTAACTAGGAACTCAAAAGAGAACCAGATGATGCAGAGAGTTTCCACGATGAAGAAAGGGTCTGTAAAATATGTTGAGCCATCGTAGGTATAGGTGGCGTTAGACGTGGACTGGAATGGATAATTGTACATCTCCTCATCATCGTTTCGGAAAACTGGCAGTGTCTCCAGACAGAAGCTGACAATAGAGATAAGAATCACCATGACAGAGATGATGGCAATGATGCGAGCAGGACCTGAGCTCTCTGGATACTCAAACAGCAGCCACACCTGTCTCTGAAACTCATTCTCTGGTAGAGGCCGCTCCTCTTCCTTTATGAAACCTTCATCCTCCCTAAAGATTTCCATAGCCTCCTCACCCAATTCATAAAACCGGATCTCCTCAGAAAAAATGTCCAGGGTCACATTAACAGGCCGGCGCAACCTCCCTCCTGATTGGTAATAATACAGAATAGCATCAAAACTTGGTCGATTCCGGTCAAAAAAGTATTCGTTCCGGAGAGGATCAAAATACCTCATCCTTTTCTTGGGATCCCCCAACAGAGTCTCTGGAAACTGGGAGAGGGTCTTAAGCTGTGTCTCAAAGCGCAAGCCTGAGATGTTGATGACAACCCTCTCGCAGCACTCATGATCTGGCTCTGGGTCGTACTGGTCATGAGGCTGGCCCGGATGTGCTGCTGCTTCGTCTGCGGGGTCGCTGGTAGCAACCGTCATGCTGGAAGGAGATGGGGCCTGCAGGTTTCAGACAGGGTGGGGCCACGTCGGGCCACAAGGAGATAAAGGTGCCACACACTCGTGGGTTCAGGTACAGGCAGATGTGCCTGCAAAAGGCTACAGGACAATACAGAGAGCAGAAAAAGGCTGCAATAATTTAGGCGATGAGCAAAACAGATTTATTTATTTAGATTTTGAACATGCATATTCAACAGCTTCACCAGCATATATCTCTCATATGTCTCATTTTGATAAACATAACATCTTTCACAGCCTAAAATTGTCAATAATTCCCAGAAATGCAAACAGGCAAGAGCAGGGCAGTTGAAAACAACCACCAGGAACCATTTGCGCAAATTGGCTCCTTTGTGTCTATGTGTATTAGGTTATGAGTTCTCTCTCACATGAGCCCACTGCAGGATCAATATGCTAGCGAGTAATACTGTATCAGCTCTCACAGGGTGCAATTACAACCAACAAATCTGATTATATGCTGAGTGCTCCATACATTCACTGAGATGAATTTCCTCTCCCAGTATGTGTGACGTGACCAAGATTCCCTGCCAAAGCTGGGAAAAACTTAATCAAGTCACTGATCAAATTAATGGTTTATAGAGTATGTATGTATGTATGAAGATGTCTAGTACTGGATATTAGGCTATTATTATTATTATTATACTATTATTATTATTATTATTATTATTATTATTATTATACACTATTTTAGTTTAGAGACACGGTTACATATGGGTAATTTAGTAAATAAATGCAACAATATCTGAATGAAAATCAACAAGTCCTACCTATTTGCACTAGCACTGGCAAGGCTTGTTTACAGCACAAAGGGTCCTCTGGTGGTACAGCGTTGACGGGCTCAGCAGAAGTGTCCGGTCAAAAGTCCGCCACCGCGGTCAAAGCAGCTCCTTTCTGCCAGCCATATATCACCCGAAGCTCCGGCTCTGCAGCGACGCAGCAGTGGGAGTGGGAGAGGGGGACAAGGCATGAGGATGCAGGAGTTACCTCCCTCGCCTCAGTGACCAGCAGATACATGTTGTGATGCAGCTAGGCTACAGGTTGAAGCTGGAGGTTTTGGGGGTGGGGGATGATGTTGTGGTGGGAATAAAGTGATAAAGAAAATTTGGAAAATGCTGGCACCAGTAAAATAAGACGCCCCCACTTCAGAACAATACGCCGCCTGCAGCAACAGCAAAGGTAATCCTCTAGCCTGATGTCTGCAGAGACTCATTGGGCATGGGAGGTCGCAGGAGGCGCTGCTGTCAGCATCTCAACTCGGAAGCACCTATGCTTTGGCCGATTTCATCTAAATGCGAAATCACCTGTTTGATCCCCCAAACAGGTCCGTATTCCGCCTGAAGGTTTGCGTTTTAGCTCATTCAATGTTATATTCTAATTTTACCTCCGCGTAAATTCCACCATGTTTTTTCTGATGGGGAATATCCATATGAATACACCAGTGATGCACATTAGTAACAAATGGAGGCTTATGTTCACAACCCATTCCATGGAATAACGTAGCTCCACTGATGGCCTTTTTAATGAGTGAAAAACTATTTTTGTCCCCACAAAGCAGCCAAGTTCATGCACTGAGATATTCAAACATTAAATGGCACTGTTGTAGTTGATTGGCAAGCGCGAGTGAGTTAGTTTGGAGTGGCAGGTGCCAGACATGCTTAAACCATTAGCAGCCCTCTGCTGTGTGGATCATGGACAGCCACAACAGAATACATGCACTAAACAAAGCAGCATAGCATTATCTGTTGGACTACAGCATAATTTCAGATAATGGCATGCAGGAATTCACCCTGATTCTCTTGTCGCACAGACGCGTGTATTTTTTATCCAGTATGTCTCCTCTTAAAAGGTGCCTTGAGGTCGTGAGTCCATTCCTTCATATCTGTCCTTCTTCCCTTATTTGACTAATCTGTCCTGCGGCTGTGTCATCTCATCACGACCAAATGTTTCTGAGTTCTTCCCATGTCTCTCATATTTCACCATAATTCACCATAGTTGAGACGCGTGGGCTGCAGTAGGGCATCGCAGCGCATACTAACAGCTTCTTGCGCGCCTCGCCCCATCCCTCTGCGCTCCCCCTTCCCCGAGACTCCTGTCCTCGCTGTTCCACATTAAAGGGGAAGCATCGCCCACCACAGGGTGGAAACGGTTTTCCACAAAACATGCGCGTCTCTCAGAGGAGAACGAGGGATAAAACAAGATTTAAAGGTAGAAACTGACAATAGGATGTGGAATAGATCTTCTGAAATGTTGTCCTGTGCCCCTGTTGCATCTACACTTGTTAATGAACATACATGCCACCCCAAGCAAAATCATGTTTTCTTATGGTTTGGAAGAATATCAGGGGAAAATGCAAGAAAACAAACACAGGAAAAATCCTCTTCTGAACTTAAATGAGCGCAATGAATTGAGGGAATGAGAGATATTGAGCCAACAGCTGCAGCACCTACTGAAAGTCTGTGACCACTGTGTGAACAGGTTAAGTCCCAGGTCAAATCTTCAGGGAGTTTGCATGTTGTTTGTGTGCTTTGCACAAATAGTCTATACCATAAAGTAAAATGTGTCTGCCACCTGTGGTGTGTACTGGCAGGCTCCAGTACAATTTGATGAGTTACTGATTATAGTCAGGTCATTCGCAGGCCTGCACACTGTATCACAGTCCACTAATTATTGCCCTGTTCAGCACATGTAGGCACACACTCACATACACAGTGGACTAATGCTAACAACTCTTAATGCAATCACAAACTAGATGAAGTTCAAGCTGAGAGTCCAATGATTTTATATAGCCAAAATAACTAGAGCAGTCTATCCTGCCCTTCTTTCCTCCACTGCTTGAAAGTAGGCCAGGTGAAAACCCAGATATGATGTCTTCAGGCAGAGAGTGGGAATCACACATGAAAGAAAAAGAGACTCCACAACTCCCCAGAGAATACCTGAGGAATACCATATGTAGCTCCCTCATGTGTTCTCCTTGCTCTCCTATTCTCCACTGCCCAAGGACGCGTTCAGCATACTACACAATCCTTCTCCACTCAAAATGTCAAAATACTGATTAAGATGATGACATAGGATCACAGGGAATTCAGCAGTAGCTCACTCTGCATAGGGCTGATAACCAATTTGTCACTCTGGCTGTGGGTCTCAGTGAGAAGCTATTGACACACTTACATAAGGATGCTGATTGATGGCCAGGAACTCTTTAATCCTCATCGTCCGTGAATGTAAATGAAGAGGGTCCAATTCTAAATGGAGGGCAGCTAAGAGCCCAGTCACCAATATCCAATGCAGGGTGTCAGCAGTGTAATGATTCATCATCCACCACATTCACAGCAATCATCTATAACACAGTTTTACTAGCGGGACAGGGCACTTAGAGTATGGGATATGGGATTGGGTTTGTTGGGATTGGGGGAAGGGTGAGTCGCGTCCTGTAATGTTTTATTACATACTTGCAAATATATTGGATTTAAAATTTGAGTACACTGAAAATGTTCATGTCACATTTTATGAGAATTCATTCAGTGTTCATAATCTTGACCATGATCTTTTTCTTAACCTCAACCAATCCCACCATAAATTAATTATCACATTTTACCTGAGCCATAATTTAACCTTATCATACCTGACCCATGTTTATTTGCCTCTCCCAGATATTTTAGGAAAAAACAAACAATATAAAACTACTGGCACTCTGATAACTCTGCTCATTGCTCTGCTCATTGCACGATCTCTGTACAGCAGGGGTTATCAATCTGTGAGGTGGGAGAGACGTGAGACAGATGGGGGAAGAACATTGCCAGCGTTCTGAAAACAACCCCGGTGATTTGGCCTACTTACCAACACTTTCATCAGTTGGGGCAGCAACAGTGGATGTGACACAATATGCATGGAGGAAAAATAAGTAGCTACTTTAAAGCCCTTAGTGCCCGATTGCCACAATCACAATTTTCCTAAAAATTGGTAATTGGAGTATTAACTCAAATCTGTCAAATTCTAAATCTGTCTTGATTTTGCTTGCTGTGGGGGTGGTGATGGTAGAGTTTTATATTACTGGCACACAGTTGACCCAGAGTTTTGAAGGCCATCAACCCTCTAACCATTTTGGATCTTCAGTTTTGTCTCCAGTTCCCTCTCACCTTCAGGTTGTGCCAAGTCTCAGGATGGGACCATTGATTCTGTTTTGTTTTCAGCCGAGCAGACCAGATGGAACCATGCAGAGAAACTTAAGAATGCTTTCGAACTAATGATCCCATACAGCTGCCGTAACCACGTCTAAACACCTTTTTATTGTATAAAATTTATCTTTTTTAATTTAATTTGGTAATTTTTAATTGGGACTCTATGTGCCAGCTGGTGCACTGCACTGGCTGGGCAGGATCCCGAGCTGATGGGGAGCCCCAAAATGTCTAGACAGAAATGTCTGTGTTGTCTGAGTGTTGTTTGAGCTGTGGGTAAGAAAACCAATATTTGTTCGGATGGAATAATGATGGCCAGGACCACAGGAAAGTGCAGGGAGTGTCAAAAACTCCATAATGTGCATAGAACCCATTATTCTCATGATGTAAGCACATTCAATTAATTTAGTCAGAGAATAATTTGACTGCAAGCCCACACAAATAGTTCAGTTGAGATATATTGTGAGATGATCAGCATATTTGTATATGAGTGTATGAGTCAGCAGACCTGCACGCCTAACTTCTCCACCCTTTTCTATGCAGCAGAACATGTGGAAGTGAGAGAGGGAGGAGGAGAGTGAGCAAGAGAAGAGGGTGTTGATCCAACTTATGACAGCAGACTGCAGGGGAGGAGCTTTGTCCTGGGTGACCTCTGCTGGTGCTGCAGCAGGTGATCACTCACACACACAGATGTAATAAGCCACTGTATTGTTTTGGCATGTGCACACACTGAAATACACATTTAGATATAGACATACTGACTCCTTAATGGATAACGCAGAAGCTAAACCAAATATACATACACAAATGCACACACATGCACATAATGGCACTAATGATAAATCATGCTCTGCTTTCTCTCTGTCCACTAGAGGATATCATGC